TTCTGTTCCTTCGACTACGGCCAGGTATTTGATGGTACGTGTATAATATATATGTTTGTATGCTGATTCCTGATCGTTGCTAGTTTTTCGAAGACTTTTTCTATATATAATATCTTATTTCTATGGTGGCTGATTTATGCCATGTCGATTTTTCGCCTACGCCCCTCCCCCATCCCGGAAAACACGGAAAATACGATAAAGTGAAAACGTTGTCGTACTTTTGCGATGCGTCTAGCGAAGCCACGAGGATTGTCGTGTTTTTTGCATAACGCCCCGACAGAGTAGTAGCGAAAGGCGAAGACATGATAATACGACTAGGTAATAACTTTGTCGTATCAATCTGTTTTCGTCTTGAGCCCCGTGGAGCCAAAGTTATACAAAGTTTTACTACGTCGTATTTCTGTGTTTTCGTCTGGTACAAAATATGACATGGCACAAATCAGCCACAATATATTGCATTTTGTAAAAGTGTAGAAAACAGTTTGAAAATATTGCAAACACGATGCCATTTATGATAAATGTTGTACACGAGGAGAGAGGCAAGCGTAATAAAGTAGTTTTGTTGGCTAGTTTGAATATACATATTTAGCTTTACTCCCATGTCTTATAGAGGCTAGATAACCTGCAGAATACATGCTTTGAAAAATGATTTTATGAAGTATACAATATACACACAGAAATATCAAATGAAACTCCTCAAAATAAGTATATGTTATGCTGTTATGGTCACGTTGATGAGTTATGTTGTTACTTGGAGAAATGAAGATATATTTCAAACCATTATAGATCCATTTTCTTCTAATATTACTTACTTGATTTTACACCTTATCTTTTTATGTTAGGTTCAGCTCCATTGTATTCAACTAGCTTGGGAAAGTTTTGCGGAACACAGACGCCAACTTATGTTAGTACTAATAGCACAATGACGCTGGTGTTTGTGTCAGATTCAAGTAAAACAGCACCTGGGTTCCAGGCCAGATATTACTCGGGATTAAGAGGTAAGTTATCCCGATATTATTATATACTATGGTGATTGTATCCGTATACTTCAATAATGAACGATCTCATTTTAAAAACAATTTTCAATGATCTACTTACTGAATTATCCAAAATAATCGTGAGTATAATAATGAAATTTGAAAATGACATGTAACTTTACTTCCCCTTTCTCCTAGGATAGTTGCATCCACCCCCTCCCCCAATACATTTGTATACATAATATTTGAATACCAGTAAAAGATCTGATCTGCTAATCATGACGTCGAATAACGATCGATGAATTATTAAATCTGTGTACGGTTTATAGTGTTTTAGAAGAACTTGTATTCAGCATAACAGTTTTCTCTTTTTATTACAGATGATCTTTTAGACGATATTGACACTGAAGCTAAATCGATTGACCTCGCAATTGTTTTAGGTTCTACTCTGGGATGTTTGGCATTTTTAGTATTGCTCTCAGCAATATTTGTCCTGGCATACAAATATAAGCAAGCAAAAACAAAATCTCAAGTACGACAGCGTCCACGACTTCCTCGACCTATATCGTCAATTCAGGTACGACCTTACAATGACGATGACCGTTGCTTTATCAATCGTCAAATGCCTCCAGCTTACGAAGCAATACAAGGTTCTTCCAGCAGCGAACCACCTGGATACACATCCGGCAATAACTATGAACGTTCTACTCAAAACGATTCCTACCCTACCAAATATTCTGACGAGAAGATTCCCATGAAGAAAGTAGCATTTGGAAACAGTGATGATATGACTTCTAATGCCATCACTGGAAATACTTCAGGTGTCCGCGGAATGCCAGGAAGTAAAGGGAACGTTGTATCGAGTGACATCTCCGCAGGAACATCCGGTACGTTACAAATATCGAATCATAAGGCCTTAGACATAGGTAATGGTGACGGTGGCAAACGTTCCCTGGATGCTGGCCCAATACCAGAGAAGATGAAAATACAATAACTAATTCATGTCAGCACTGTTATCCCTATCATAGAAACAGCGAGTGCGTTTTAATGCTCATTATTATATTTGTGAAAGCATTTTGTTACAGTAAAAGTTTTTGCAATTAAACAACGAATTACATTTGTACTATAATCAAGAGCACTGACCAGAAATTCCGAATCTACATGGTTATCAATAAAGGAAGGGATTTATACTGAAATCGCAACAGAAACTGGCAGATACTAGCCTCAAAAATACATTTTACTTTGATTTCGATGTCATCCTAGCGAGTTATTATTAGGACAATGAACTTACAGATAATCCTAGTCTCAAGAGAATTTAAATGCTTTCATTTTCGTCGCATATATGCATATTGGCTTAAACTATTTTAACAGGTTTTAGTTACAATTATTTTTGTTTATCTTAAATACTAGGGGGAAATAAGTGCTAAAAATGTTATGAATATGACACATTTGTATGCATTATGTTAATTGACATGTGTAATGTATATGGATTTTTATATACGTTCAGTCTGGCTCCATACTTATACTGCATTATACTTATGAACTATTTCGCTTAGTGACGGCGTGGCCGAGTGGATAAATTTGCTGGCGGTTTGGTTCAAACCCCGTCAGTGGCAAGCCGCTGTTTCCGCGAGCAAGAAGCTTTACCCTGCATAGCACTGGCTGGTTCGTGAACACAGCTGAAATTGTTTCAATAAGCTTATAGTTTCCAGCAGAATAGAACTCAGATAAATTCATATAAACACATTTATTGCTAATGTTATATAGTCTTGTTGGAATGAAAGGAAAGATTCGCTCTGCCGGCACAAAAACTTAAACAATGAAATGTTCGTACCTTCGCGTGTTAAAATTTCGTTATTTCGCCTAGAATGTTTCGTATTTTTTGTATCTACGTCCCGAAAGGCGAAAGTCGAAATAACGACAAATAAGTATGTTTTCGTGTCTTCGCCTTTCGACTTTCTGGGCGAAAACACGAAATGGCAGAAATCAGCCACTATAGAATGTAGATATAGCTTTAAACTGGCTATAATTGCGGCTAGCCCATACAGTTTAGAGGTTGAGGTATTTCATCGTCTTTTATTATTATCATTAAAACTTGTATTAATTATCATTACAATTAACGATATGTAATGATTTAGAACCACATGTAGATGCTTTAAATATTATTGTGAAATATCTATATGAAGTAAGAGGAGTTGAGCTGAAATAACATCAAACCAACTTATTCACTGTCATTATTTTGTTGGAATTAAATCTTTACAGAGAGTGCTATTTTCTATTACCTCCCTTTATTAAGGCAACATATCTACATTGTATTTGTTTTGCCAAATTTTTTATTTCATCATAGTGGAGAAATCAGTGTAGAACGGTAAAATATAAAGAAATTATGCACGATTTTTTAAATAATGTTGTACATGTATCAACCGCTATTCACCTTTCAAAATCATGATTTGGTAATATATTGGATTGCTAAATTTAAAACAGGTTACGAACACGTCAAAGATGCTGCTCCTGCAACAGTTACAACCAATAGTAACATTGTAAAATCCGCCAAATCTTACAGAAAGACGCAATATATACCGTGAGACAATTGGTTCGCGTTAGCACGTGTTTCTGGTATTTATTTTGAAGAAAAAAATAATCTAAAGTTAGGAATGATGACAGCTAGGTGGATACCTCATTTGCTTACCGATGATCAATGATAATGCAAAGACATTATTAAAACTGTATCCAAAAAATACCTAAAAGAGCTTTGATAATTTAGTTACTAGCTGGTGATGAGTCAAAATATTTGAGTTCTAACAGAATCTAGGCATCAAGAATGCAACCATTGATATGATTGCTTATATTTTATAAGGTGTGAAATAAATTTTCATATTACGTAAGTGAAGTTTACTGTGTCGTTTATGAAATTAAAAGGCTAGTTTACAACATAAAACATGCTGTTTGAGACGATAACGCGTTTTGTGAAAAATTTACAATAACACGTCACTTCATTTTCACGATTTCATATTGAGTTTTAAACACTTAGAAGAGAATTGAATTACATTTCATGTCAATAAAAATATTTGATTTAATTGTTACTTTTCACAAATTGATTTATCTCTAAAGGTATGATAAATATACTTCTATTCCGTTTGTTAACTACTCATATTATTGCATATTTTAATTAGATTTAAAAACGGTCGAAAATTGGAAAGTAAATAAAGACCCAAACTTGGCGACATTATAAAACAATGAACGTGGCTGATAAACATGAACTCTCCCTTTATAGCAGGGCCCGAATGTAAGTCTTTTTTATACATATATAAATGTGTGCGTATTCATGCACTTTTCTTTAGTTTTTAAAACATTAAAATAAAATAGTTTTCGTTACCTAAATGTTTTTCTTTTTTTACATTTGAAGTTTCAATGAAAATAATGTAATGTTCAGGTTGACGTCAGCTGTCCGTTAAAATAGTATGTTTCCGTCTAAGGATATGACCGTAAAGACGATTTTGCAAAATATTCATTATATAATTTGATTTCTTTCGTCAAGGGGAGAAAACTATGCAGTATTCAGTCTGTTAAATGTTTTGAGGGTTACTTTAGTGATGCTGTGTACTTATGCTAATATATCGAATTGCTGATTGTGTTTGAATATTTTCAGTACTTTTAAGTTATTGTTTTAGCATTTTTATCCTCGTAGAATTTATTCCGGTTTGGTTTAGCAGAGTTGTAGTGACCTCATAGTCCGATGGCTTCGGCCCGTGACATATTTGTTGCTTGATATAATTTTTTCATTGGCTGGTATTAATTTTATTTACACTGTTTCGAGTCACAGGAACATGTTGTGGCTAAGAGTGTGGTTCTATGTACTATTAAACGCTTTAAAAGTTACAGTAGCGTGTTTGCTGCTGACCGTTCCAAGGTGGTGGCCTTCTATGTTCTTTAAGATGTAACAGTAAGAAAAAAGTTTTCTATGTTTGTATCGGCAATAATATTCTACACTTATCAAACATAATTGTTGTGTGTACATTTCAGCGGAGTTGTATGACGATGATGATTCATCAGAACAGACAACTACTACTGACAACTCCGTGTACGTGATCCTCGGTGTTACCACGGGAACGGTACTGCTGGTTGTTATAGTGATAGCTGTTGCCATCAACGTGTACAAGCACGTGCAAGCTAAAAAGCTTCATGATTCCCCTCAATCTCCATCTAACAGACGGTTTTCAGACGCTCGCGTTCATCCTCTTGTTTTCAATGGTCAACAATACAACGATAATAATACAAACACATTCAATACTGATAGCCCTCCCATATATTCGGAATTTGCGCCTCGCCCAATGTCACCGCCTCCTAGATATACCATGTTTGACACAAACACATTCCGTTGACAATATACACTACGTGCGACACGGAGAAACATGTTATATGTATTCATTCATTTAGCTTATGTCTGCATGCATGTTTATTTGACTATGATATATATATATTTGCATTACATGAAACTGAACAGAAGCGTCCAACAGATATGTTGTTGCATTCGATAAACTAGACAAGATAATCTGGATTATTAACTGAAAATACAAAATAATGATTGACGACAAATATTTTGAAAATATGGATGGCTCACGATAGTACATGCCAGTAAAGGCTTTGATAAATTGCAGTCAATTTATCTGAGATGTTTGAACGACTGCCTTGCACTTAATTTGATCTATCTTCTTTTATATTACTCGTTAAATGCGCTGAAAAAGAAAGCAACATTTTTAATCTAAATACATGTGTATGTATAAGTTATAGTAGTGACTCAGAACATTTTATAACTATGTCATAGTGAATACGCCTGTGTTAGACATTTTAACATATAAAGATGAGCGCCGGAGTACGGGGTACATATATCCCGCATAGATAGCTTTTTGTAATGACTTGACAAGTTTGTATTGTCTTCAACTGAAATCGTACAGTAAATAAGTGTAAAATAAAAATTGTATTGCTCTATAATTTTTTGTTTCTTTATGAATAACTTTGAAAAAATAAATCATTACAAATACGTTTCTTCTATATTACTAGTAGATCTATAACAAAAGCGGTTGTCTAAAAATGTAAAGTCGACATGTATCTTTTGCCTGCTGTCCAGCTTAAACATATGAAACAAACAGCATCAACATTATGTGAGCTAGTACTTTTTTTCGACGTCCGTCTGAAAACAGTTTGACTTCCTGTAAAATATACAGGGTATAACTGAATATGTGTAGCATCTCTATTGATCAATTTAAAATTAAAAACTGAAATAAGGGAATCTCATTGGTCATTCTAAAATTAGTCAAATAATATCAACGAAATACGTCTATATTGCTAAATGATGTAAGGGAGTTTCGAATTACAATTCTCAGATATTTGAGGTCTATGAACCGTGCGTTCTTTCTTTAAGCATTTTACATTTTCAACTGCTTGTAAATGTCATTAGATCACTTTCAACATTCGAATTTTTCGAGTTATAAATGACATTAAAATGTCATTAGATCTCTTGTACAAAAGCTAATTCAACATTCGAATTTAACGAGTTTTAAATGACATTAAAATGTCATTAGATCTTGTTACGAGCCAGGCGTAACGAGAAAGAAAAGCCAGCAACAAACTTGTAACAATAACAAATTTATTACAGAAAAATTATTAAAGAAAAATAAAATAACAAATTATCTTTACAAATACCTGAAGTCCAAATAAAAATTACAAATGTCTAGTCTGATCCTGGAATAATCCTTTTTCAATAGCACAGTTAAATCCAAGTTAAATCCAAGAACACTTTAGAATAAATTCCCACAATAAAATCCACAAGAATAATTAATAATCCAAGCTCCAATAAATCACTTAATTTCCAAGTTGAATAATACTCCAAATATATTGATGACTTAAAAGATCACTGATGACTAAAAAGGTAACTGATGACTTAAAGATCAGATTAATGAAAAATGTCTCCTTATATATATATTAACTAAGAAGTTTCTAGAATAGTCTTCCATTTACTACAGTAATCATAATCTAGCAACTTCAACAATAAAGATCATTCCAGAAATTTCTATCTAAATATAATGCATGAGTTTTCCACAACAGTTAAGAACTTTCTAGTACATACATGTAGTTTATGTTCTAAAAATAGAACAATGACAATATTGGAAATACCAACTGGTCAGATATAATCTATATACATGTAATATGTTGCATACATAACACTTCCCCTCTTCAAGAAAAAGAAATATTAATGAAATGAATATTTCTTTTACATAATTTCAAACAATGTAACTTACAAATAACATAGGAGAAATGTTAACAATTTTATACATTCATATATATGTGTATTACAAACAATAGCAAACAACAACAAAAACATAACCAATCATATCATATAAATGCTACTACAAACAATAGCAAACAACAACAAAAAAAAAATAATCAATCATATCATATAAATGCTAAATTTAAAATACTGCAAATAACAGTTTTAGACACGTGAAAGTGCATCAGGGATCAAATTATCTTTCCCTTTAATGTGTCTAATGTCAAGACTATATTCTTGCAAAAATAAGCTCCACCTCAACAACCTTTGATTTTTGTTTTTAAGTTTATGCAAGAAAGTGAGGGGGTTGTGATCACTAAAGACAACAACAGGCAACTTTGAAGAAGTTAAATAAACTTCAAAATGCTGAATAGCAAGAATAAGAGCAAGGCACTCTTTCTCTATAGTAGAGTAATTTTTCTGATGTTCATTAAACTTTTTAGAAAAGTAACAAACAGGATGGTCAACACCATTGTTGTCTTCTTGGATCAATACACTTCCAGCACCTATGTCACTAGCATCTACAGCTAACTTAAAGTTTTTATTAAAATCTGGTGCCAAGAGAACTGGTGCACTCTTAAGTATGGCTTTCAGGCTGTCAAATGCCATTTGACACTTGTCATTCCAAATGAATTTGTTTCTTTTCTTTAGCAAACTTGTCAATGGTTCTGCAATAACCGAAAAATTATTACAAAATTTACGATAATACCCTGCCATACCAAGAAATCGCATCAGTTGTCTTTTACAAGTAGGCACAGGAAATTCAGAGATAGCTTTGACCTTAGCTTCTATTGGTTTAACTTTACCCTGTCCCACTACATGTCCTAAAAATGTTAAAATTGCATGACAAAATTCACTTTTTGCAAGATTAACTGTCAATTTAGCATCACTAAGTCGGTCGAAGAATGCTCGTATAGTTTTGAGATGTTCCTCCCATTCATCAGAGTAGATGATTGCGTCATCAATGTATGCGTCACATCCGTGTAGACCAGATATTACCATGTTTATAAGCCTCTGAAAAGTTGCTGGTGAGTTTTTCATACCAAATGGCATAACTTTATATTGATACAAGCCGTCTGGTGTTACAAAGGCTGATATTTCTTTAGCTCTATCAGTAAGTGGAACTTGCCAGAATCCTTTTAGAAGATCAAACTTTGTTACATACTTTGCTTTTCCAATTTTGTCAATACAGTCATCAATTCTTGGTATAGGAAATGAATCAGTTTTTGTTACAGAGTTCACTTTACGATAATCTGTACACATTCTATATGTTCCATTTGATTTCGGTACAAGAATACATGGAGAGCTGTAATTGCTTTGACTTGGTTCAATAAAGTCATTATCCAATAAATACTGAACTTCTTGTCTTAGGTACTTTTGTTTTATAGGATTCGTTCTATATGGATGTTGTTTTATTGGTTCAGAGTTTTCAAGAATGACGTCATGATGTATTTTGTCAGTCCGTGTGGGAATATCAGGAAATAAGTGTTCATATTCATAAATAAGCTGTTTCAGTTCATCTCGTTTCGACGGTTCTAAGTGAGCAAGTTTTTCATCCAGATTTTTTAGAATATCAGAGTTTTCAAGCTTTGCTGAACCAGGATCAGACTTTTCAAAATTTTCACACCTATTAGATTCAATTGAACATTGATTTTGTGGAACAGAGTTTACAAAAGATATAGGTTTACTAATTTTGCTATCTCTGTCAAAATATTCTTTTAACATATTTATATGACACATTTGCTTTTGCTTTCGCCTCCCAGGAGTATTAATAATATAATTAAGGTCACTGACTTTCTTTTCAATAGTATAAGGACCAAAGTATCTTGCCTGTAATGGTTTTCCAGGTATAGGTAAAAGAGCAAGTACTCTATCACCAGGGTTAAAACTTCTTTCCTGAGCATTCTCATCATACCTTGATTTCATTTTACTTTGTGTTGATTTTAAATTAAGCCTAGCTAACTTACATGCATTAGTCAACCTATTTCGAAAATCTGATACATACTGAAGCAAATTTAAAGATATGTCATCTTCAGACAGGAATTTCTCTTTAAGAAGTTTTAAGGGTCCTCGGACAGTGTGACCAAATACTAATTCAAAAGGGCTGAAGCCAAGAGATTCCTGAACAGATTCTCCTACAGCAAATAACAATAAATGGATGCCTTCATCCCAGTCTTTTTCCGTGTCAAAACAATATGATCTAATCATATTTTTCAGAGTCTGGTGAAATCTTTCTAATGCACCTTGACTTTCAGAATGATAGGCTGAAGACCTATATTGAGTAATTCCTAACTCATGCATGACCTGCTGGAAAATACCAGACATAAAATTTGACCCTTGATCAGACTGTACTGATTTAGGTAAACCAACAAAAGTGAAAAATTTCACAAGAGCCTTAACAATAGTTTTGGCTTTAATATTCCTTAAAGGAATAGCTTCAGGGAAGCGCGTAGAAGCACACATAATAGTTAATAAGTACTGAGAACCTAATTTAGTTTTTGGTAAAGGACCTACACAGTCAATAATAACTCTACTAAAAGGTTCATCAAATGCAGGAATAGGCTGTAAATGTGCTTTAGGTATTGTCTGGTTAGGTTTTCCAACCATCTGACAAGTATGACAAGATTTACAGTACCTAGATACATCTGCTTTAAGGCCAGGCCAATAAAAATGACTGAGAATTTTATGGTAGGTTTTATTAACACCTAAATGACCTGCCATGGGTGTTTCATGAGCCAAGCTTAATATTTCCTGGCGATATGATTTAGGGACCACAATTTGGTGATTAACTGTCCACTCCTCTTCAGCAGGGACATCGGGCGGTCGCCATTTTCTCATTAAAATCCCATTCTTTTCATAATAACAAACAGGGACTTGTAAAGCTTCATCTTCACTAAAAGCCTTTTGATAAAGGACTGAAATCTCAGGATCATTTTGTTGTTCCTGGATTAGCTGTGACCTTGACAGTGTATCATGACCTTGATCTTTAGATCTTGGTGTAGAAAAGTCAGATATTGAAAAATCTGTCTGAGTTTCAGGCAGAGTAGGAGTGAGAGAAAAATTTATTTCATTATCAAAAGACTGACCTATAAAAGTATCAGCTAAGTCAATATCTGAACAATAATTATCTTCTTGAATGGCCTTCTCAACCATAGCTCGAGTAACTGCACACGAAGGATAAAGGTCAGGAATTTCCTGCTCAATGGGGTCAGGTATCTGATCCACACAAGGAGTGTCAGTTACAAGTGGATTAACCACTACCTTATCTCCAGCTAAGTCATTACCTAGCAATAAATGAACACCTTTAAAGGGTAAGAAAGATCTTATACCTACAGCCACCGGCCCAGTTACCAAATCTGAGGACAAATAAATATTATGGAGAGGGACATTAGAAAAACCACACTCTACACCCTGAATAAGGACACTAGATCCAGAAGAAGACTTCTCAGAAAAAGGCAGTGTATTTGCTAAAATAAGAGATTGAGAAGCTCCTGTGTCTCTTAAAATCTTAATAGGAGTAGGTGGGCAAGTATCACCGATAAGTGACACGGAACCTTCCGAAAGGAATGGTTCATAAATCTCCATTATAGAATCAGACTTGGGTTCTTTGACCTTCAAAATTGCATTGTTATCAATACAAGACTGAGGTTCAGACC